GGGACTATGACCTAGAATGGTGTGTGTACAATGCAACAAAGTCCTACACCCAGTGCCAGCAAAGAGTTCCTTGTAATCTCTTTCTGAACAGTTGTCTGTCCCCCTTACTATCTGTGGCCTGAGAGCTTAGGAAGCCACTGTTGTATATCCAGTCACCCCCAAGACCTGCTACTAGCTTGCTGGAGTAGGGTACTGTGCTGGGGTGGGGGACTGTGCTGGCATGGCCTGCACTGGACTGTGTTTGACTGTGCTCCACTCTCACCCCAATAAGATAGACATTTCTTTTCAATATTCTAAGTTGCCCTGGGCTAGAAAATTTGTTTCACCTGTTCTTTTGTTGGTTCTTCTGCTACAGAATTCATTTTGAGGTGTTATTTTAAAGTTGTTTGGAGGGGAATTTGAGAGAGCTCAGGTTGAGTACCTGCCTTTACTCTACCATTTTCTGGGATTATTCTTGAATGAATATTTAATCTTAACTGAGATTGAAACATTTTTTCCTCTCTTGCACTGGGAGGGATCAACCTCTGTATAAAGTTTTCTGCTGTCCATTGAGTAGAAAAAGAAATTTAGCAAAGGCTGATGTTAAAGCATCAAGTCAATGAAATAATTTAATGAGTGATGCTTCTTTCCTATGTGACAGGAAGGCAACCATTCCCCCCACCCCCAACTCCAACCATAGCAGTTTGAGCCTTCTGTCAATGAGCTAATATTTCAAGTTGCTGTTTACTATTTAAATGGAAGCCAAGTGTTCTTTAGTATGTGTAGGAGGGTTCTGTCAAATCAGGAGGGAGAATGGTAATATTTCTAGGAGACAACATTTATCATACAGTTGGGAAAAGTCAGCCCTGAAAAATGCCTTTTATATGTTCACATGCTCATCAAAGAGGAAGGTGACACAGTTAGAAAAAGGGGGGCATCAGGCCTTTATTCAGTATTTGCCACTCAAATATAGGCAGAGCATGAGATAGCAGCCCATTTCAACCTCTGCAAAGATGTCAACTGATGGATCAAAGAACAAAAGGGAATTGCTTTTTTTATTTTAACCCAGAGCTCCTACCACCTTGAATGCATTTGAGAGCAAACAGGCTGACTTTGGAGTGTCAAAGAAAATCTGGCTGGTGATATTTTACAGAAGAGAATATCAGAAAATGTGCAGAATTACCACATACCTAGATCGTTAGATAGATCATCTATTCAAAATAATTCACATTTCTAGAAACTGTGCTTTTCAAATTAAAAATGCTAAACCTTTTAATTATAATCAATACCTCTACTTCAAAGCAAAGCTATTTGATCATGTGTAGGAACTGTTTCATTTATTTGTTTGGGAATGTCCAAAGCCTAGCAGTGTCTGGCACACAGTAGGTGCTTAATAAAAGCTTGATGATTTATCGATTGATATGCAGTACTTTTTAGGTGTCTCTATGCATAGATTCCCAAAGTGGGCAATACTGCCCCCTGGAGGGTGCTAGAATGATCCATGGGAGGCAGTAGTAGCCTTGGGTGCAATTGGGGGGCATTGAATAAAAATAAGGAGGCTGTAGAAGCATAAGGAAAGAAGAGAAGATAAGAAAAATTTGAAAAACTGTTCATGCCTCATACATTTCATCAAGTTGTGGTGATTACAATATTTTCCAAATAAACACACAAAATGCAAGTTATAACCAATCAGTGGTCAAGTCCTCTGACAGGTCTTAACAAGCAAGTTTTGGCAGGTGAGTGTGTCAGGCATTGTCGGGAAGTCCATTATGCATTAGCAGGAATATGTATGTGTAATGACTTGTTTACAATACAATACTGTATGGTTACATGATGCAATATTGCATTACTGAAATTTGAATGCAGAAAAAGCCCACAAATTTATAATAAATTATTAAATTTAAGATGTATCATTTTTAAAAATATATACATATATTTTGAAATGATGTAAATTTGAAAAAAAAAACTATTAAAGGGTTAAAGAAAGTAAATTTCCAGGGGGGCACTGGGTAATTTTTTTAAAAAGGGTGTGGTAGTCCAAATAAGTGTGGGAACCTCTGGTAGAGACTCTGTATTAATGGCTAGAGTATGGAGCTTTGAAGCAGTTTATTGCCTATATGACCCTAAGCACCTCATTTAATCTCTGCATGGCTAAGGTAGCTCTCTAGGATTTATTTACTAAATTTACTATTTATTTACTAAAAACTGATTGAATATTGGTGAGAATTTCAGTGCCTCTAGAGTGAAAGGACCTGGGTTCAAACTCAGGCTCACTCTATACCTACTGACCTTGGTGAAGTCACTTATCCTGTCTGGATAAGTTTAGTTCCTCTTAAGATTTAGTTAAGATAAGATTTAGTTCTTCTTCTGAAAAGCAGGAGTTTGGACTTGATAGCCTCTAAGGTCCCTTCCAACATGAAATCTTTAATCCTGACTGGAGTTTTTGGAACATAAAACTAGGTACTACATTGTATTAACATAAAGATAGTATAGTGCCATGAAAAGAGTATAGAACCTTGAACAAAAAGAGCTGGATTTAGTCTGGTTTAACCATTTTACTACCTGAGTAACCTTGGGAAATTCACTTAACCTCTTTCTGAACCTCATTTCCTCCTTTTGAATAGAAGTCATCTAGGTAGAATAGCAAAGAGAGTTCTGGGTGGGGAGTCAGGAAGACCTGAGTCCAAATGTGAACTCAGACACTTGCTATTGGAGTGACCCTGGCCAAGTCATTTAACCTCTTTCTGCTTCAGTTTCACGATCAGTAAGAGGCCGATAATATTAATATTGTTCTCCTGTCCCCCTTGAAAATGAAGATGTTTTACCAAATAACCTCTTGAGTCCCTTCCAGCATTAAATACTCCGATCAATCACCCCTGGAAATTAAAATTGTTGTCAATTTGTCAGGCATGCTTGCCAGACAATCAAGTTCATTTCTGTTATTTATTGAATCCAATATGAGTGGATCCACCCTAATCATTTAGACATGTAGTAGGTCCTTAATCTAGTCTACCACAGAAAGAAACTTCAACATAAACCAGTTCAAATATTGTATCTGATGCTCTAATCCATTCTCAACTGCCCCCAGGTTTTTACTTAGATTGTAGGCCATATTTGCAATGTATTGCCATGATTATTACATTGATTCTGGCAGTCCCTTTCTAGGTGTTCTGTGATGTTACTTAGCAAGGTTTAAAGAAAGCAGACAAATTTAAGTAGGTCAAATACCCTCTTCCAAAATAGAATCTGAGATAGAGGAGGAAGAGTGATGTCCTGAACAAGGGACTGGTGTGGATGTTATCAAGATCATTGTTGGTGGAACTGACCCCCATCTCAACATAGAAATATAGAACCTTAATGCTTAGAGAGAACATAGCAATCACTTATTTTTATTAACGAAGAAGCTGAAGTCTAGAGAGGTGAAGCAACTTATCTAAGGTCATATGATTAATTAGTAATGGAACTTGGGACCCTGATCTCCTAACTTCTAGGCTAGTGAACCATAAGTACTGTTCTCTCTTCTATTTCTTGCATCTTTGTTTTTTGGGGTGTGTATGTGTGTGTCCATCTTTCTTTCTTCTTCCATTTCCCCTCTTCTGTGTCTCCTTTCCACCCTCTTTCTTCCTGCTCCCTTGCCTAGACTTTGGACTTGTCTACAGGATCAAGTAGCCCTTACTGGGGACACAGCACACATAGATGGGGAGCCAGACATGGAAGGAACACCCAAGTGTCTGACAATTATCCTGTTCATCCTACATCGCAAATAAAGAAATCCAGGAGATCAGTACCATACACCAAAAGGAGAAAGGGGAAGTCAGGGAAACATCTTCCCATCATACATCTTCAGCATTGTACTACATGGTATATAAAGGCTCAGCTACCTTTTGGAATAAATATACCTTTCAAAGAATTTTGTTTACAGGGAATTGTTTTAGGGAAAATATGATAATAAAAAATTTTACTCAGTAATACAAATTAGAAAAAATATTAAGAACATTCAATATAGCATAAACATATTACTAATTACATGCTAAAAGTTTTGCATTGGTTCCTCAAGTGGGCGATACCACCCCTGGGGGCACTGGAATGATCCAGAGGACAGTGGTAGTAGCCTCGGGTGCAACTGGGGGACACTGAATATAAATAAGGGGGCCATGGAAGCATAAGGAAAGAAGAGAAGAAAATTTTGAACAATCATTAGTACATGTTTCATCTGTTGTATACAAAATTAAAGTCATAGTGACTGCATTATTTTCCAAATAAACATACAAAACGTAAGTTATAATCAATCAGTGGTTAAGTCTACCAATAGGTCTTTTTTTTTTTAAGGCAATCAGGGTTAAGTGACTTGCCCAGGGTCACACTAGTAAGTGTCAAGTGTCTGGTCTGAAGCTGGATTTGAACTCAGGTCCTCCTGACTTCAGGGCCGGTGCTCTATCCACTGCGACACCTACCTGCCCCCTACCAATAGGTCTTAACAAGCAAGTGTTGGCAAGAGAGCCTGTTACATATTGTTGGGAAGTCCAGCATGCATTGGCAGGAATATGTGTGTGTAATGACTTGTTTACGATACAATGCTATATGGTTATATGAGGCAATATTGCATCATCAAAATTTCAATACAAATTTACAACAAATTATTAAATTTAAGATGTTTCATTTTTAATACATATTTGTATATTTTTTGAAATGATGCAAATTTAAAAAATTAGAGTTAAAGAAATTAGATTTCCAGGGGAGTGCTGAGTAATTTTTTTTTTTGAAAAGGTGGCAGTAGGGCAAATAAGTTTGGGAACCTCTGCAGTATAGATAATCACTCACATTTATATAGTATTTGAAAAGTTTTTAGATTACAAAACACATAAGATATGAATACATTAGAAGTTTTTCATGAAATTTTATCCAGTGTTTTTAAGATTTCTTCATGTAGATAATTACATTTTACAGAATTGATTTTAAAATAAAAGCACACATACACATATCCCCTGCCACTGTCACCCAGCACCATTTTTCAACATTACCTATCTGTGATTGGGCCACCAGGGTTGACTTGCGGTCACAAAGTGGAGAAAAGGGAAGGCCTAACTCAGCTTCCTTGTCGCCCTGTGAAAAAGAAATCTCATTAGCACAGACATATTCAGGAGAAATACTGATATCAAGGATTAAAAGGGAAAGAAACCCGAAAATGCTTGGTTCTTGCTAATGATTAGACTACATCTAAAATGACACACCATTCATTATGTTTTAAATAATCAGAGCCAGGTGCAGGGCAAAGAGATAAAGCTGGTACTTTTTTCCGTGTCCTTTTTTGAGGGAAAGAAAAAAAAGAAAGAAGCATCAATATCTTTAGTTCTTTAGAATATTGGTTAAGTAATGTTCCTTCCTGACTGTAATGAAATAGATCTTAACTATCTGTGACTCTTTCAAATCACCACAAAATATTTCTCAGCATATCATTGAATTTGATGTTCATTTAGTAATACCACCCATGAATACTGCACTGTGGTTTCTTCTTCCTGTCTACAGTGAATCAATATACATTTATTAAACATCTACTATGTGCCAGGAGATGCAATTACAAACAATGAAATAATTCCTACTCTCAAAGTGCTTAAGTTACAAAGGAGGAAGAAACAAGCATCCATATGTACCCATACACATATACATACATACATACGTATATATACATATACTCACATTTATGCATCTGTATATATATTTATATGGATATATACTGAATATATATATATATATATATATACATATATATATATATATATATAAAGAAAATAAATGCAATATCAGCAAGTCATAACAAAATGTAAAAAAAACAATCACTTCTTATATATTTAAGAGGCTTCTAGGTAGTAGCTTCACCATGGGATATGATTCAGACATGAATGACAGTAGGACAGAGTGGATAATTAGGAGAAGGTGGGTTCAAGTCCTTTTTCCATATTAATTGTATGGACACATGCAAATTAGTTAACCTCTTAGTCTCTCAGACAACCCTCTGAAATTATAAGATATAAATAACATGCTAAAGGGTTTTTTCTATACTTAGAGTTCCCTAGATGTGGACCCTTTCCAAAAATTCAGAGCCTTGGCTTGATATAAAAGTGTAGAATTGGCAGGTACCTATGTGATTTCATCAGTACTGAGGATGTCTCACTGTATTCTACACCAAACCAGATAAATATGCATTCATTCATACAGACATGCTTACATATATTCTTCCTCACAAACTTTAAAACCTAAGGTTTCATTGGAAGATCTTTATTTATTTACCTTACCACTATGATGACTTTTTAAAAATGGAAATACTCCTTGGAGGGGTAACACTTTCATCTATTTACTTTGTCCTGTGAGTGAATCATTGGAAGGGGTAAGGGAGACTGAGAATATTAGGACACTGGGGAAGAGAATGTAGGGAAAAGGGAAAAGAACACATTTAGAAGAGACCAGAAACTGCCACGGTCAAACTACCTCTCCTTGATGTCTTCCAAAAGCCCCAACTTTGGTCTGCATTAATATGAAATGAGTTCAGAGTTATGGGTTGAATTTTTCTTGTTGTTCATTAAACTGTGTGCTGAAGGTGTGTTTGATTAAGAATTAACTTGAGGTCAAAGTGACTTCTTAAAAATAAATCATACAGTGTCTCAGTGAAAAAAGCAAATTGTAAGTATTCCCAGCCTTTCTTCCTTTATCATAAATATGGCTCCATCCAGGAGATGCTGCCTGATTACTACCCATTGATTAATTCTTACCTAAATTATTCATTCATTCTATTAATACTATCTACCCGCACACTAACCATACCACTGTCTTGTGTCCAGAAGAGTGGCAATTCTGTGAGAGCTGGTTTGAATCTGTTTTTGGAGGCTACGCTTTCCTTGTTTTTATGACTTTTCAAAGAAGTACCCCGATAGCAGTGGACAAAGTGTTAAGCTCTGTCTTAATAGAATTTGAAAATCTCTGGTGTGTGTGTTTAAAATCTGAAACCTGAACAGCAACACCAGCTTTGTATAAATGGAGAATGATTGAAATGTTGAAAGGAAAAATATTCCTTTAAGAAGTTATATCCTTTAACCTTTCCAGGCCTCAGTTTCCTTATCCATAAAACGAGAGGGTATTGGATTTCTAAAATTCCTCCCAAATCTAGCTATCATTCTATTACAATTAGGACACTAGCATTTTTTAAAATTGATATAGTAAAGGCTTATTTTTATGCTTTTTAGTACACTGAGTCTATATTGGCTTTTCTTTTCTATTATACCCTCTCCCTGACCACTCTCTTTCTGTTGAAATTTCTCTCTCTCTCTCTCTCTCTCTCTCTCTCTCTCTCTCTCTCTCTCTCTCTCTCTCTCTTTTGTGAGGCAATTGGGGTTAAGTGACTTGCCTAGGGTCACACAGCTAGTGTCAAGTGTCTGAGGCTGGATTTTAATTCAGGTCCTCCTGACCAGGACTGGTATTCTATCCACTGCACCACCTAGCTTTTCTTTCTTGTCTCAGTTTAGAATTTACTCTTACCATGAAGCCATCTCCAGATGTCTACATACAAATGTTTTTCCCCCTCCTTAAGGCAATTTGTCCAAATTCATCCTTTATCTTGATCACATTTTTCCTTGTACCATACTTATTTGTTTACATGTTACATTTCCCATGAGTCTGTAAGCTCCCCAAGGGACTGTCATTTTCCTTTTTGTACACCCAAGACCTAACATGATGTCTTGTGTATAATAGGCCTTTAATAAACTTTTGCTGAATTGACTTGACTTTTACTTAGAATTGCAAACTTCATTGGTGAGTATTGGCATTGTACATTATTTTTATTATCAAAGACAGATGTATATATACATACATATATATATATATATATATATATATGCCTATGTGTATAAATGCATATAGATGCACATAGGATGTATGTATATATTTATGTGTACATATGGGTACTTACAATTCAACAAACATATTGCTTCCTAGGAATATGGAGGTGAAAAGCAATATGGTCCCTGTCCTCAAGAAATTTATGATAATAAAAACTTGTATTTATAAAGAATCTTAAAGTTTATGTCATCATCATAAGGACCCTTTGAATTAGATAGTACAAGAATTATCCCCTCTGTATTACAGATGGAAAGGCTCAAAGTGATTTGCCCAGATTTACATGGCTAGTAAATGCTGGAGCCAAGATCAAACTCAACCCTCTCCTGACTCCAAGTTGAGTTTAAGGTCTATATTACTATGCTGTCTCCCTAACCTAATAAAAAGGACACAACGGGGAGGCAAATAATTATGGTACAAGGAATAATGTGATGAGGAAAAAAAAGTCCAGATAAAGCATTATGATAAATTTGATCACTTTCACTGGTAGGATGAGGGAATGCTCCCTGAAGGTGGTGGTCTCGAAAGAAGAGGTTTTTCTAGTGGTGGAAAGAAAATAAAGAGTATATTCTTGGCATGGAGTATGATTTGCATAAATGAATGCAGGAAAAAGTGTCCATTTTTAAAGACTTAGAGCTTAATTATACTGTTAAAAATAATTCTAGAGATTTAGAGAGTTAGATAGTATCTCCCTAGTTATCTAGCCTAACTCCATTAATTATCTTTGCATGAATTCCCTCTAGTACATCCCAACAAGCTAAAGACCAACCTCTGCTAGAGAGTTTCAGGGAAGTCAGGCAGGCAAACCATTACTGTAACCCAAGTCAGGCTACCAACTCTCTTGGTTGGCCAAAGGACACAGCAAAAACAAAAACGTAGTTTGGAAATGTCTAGGCCTTCTCTACCTCTGGGCATATGCCAGAACCATTTGCTTGTCTTTTAAGGCATGCCTAATATTCTGCCTTGGATTAGCATTATTTTGACAGGTTTATAGTTGTTTATTTTCTTTTATGATGTATTTTTGGTCATACTTATGATTTACTTGATACCAATGCTTCAACCTCCAATTATAGCATTGTTTCCATGAGAAAACAGAGGCCTATTTAGAACCACTTGGTGGTGTAGGTTCTAGCCAAGCATTACAGATAAAAGCAGGGCCTGCAGGTGAGTATGTTTAGGCTAAAATAGTTTTTTTCTGCCTGCTTTTCCAATGTGTTAAACTTTCAATTGTTAGCATCAAGCTTGCTTCTAAACAAATCTTTCTGAAGCTTTTCTCCACCTGTATACAGGACACAAAATAGCTCACTGAAAATTGCAAAATACATCCTTTCCATTTGGTGTAAATAGCGCCAAAGAGAGTGATGTGATAGAAACTGTCAATAAATTGAAGGTTGCTTTCCCCCTACTGCATTAACTGAACTGCCTGGTTGTTTCAGAATCTTGTCAGCATAGTATGCCCCATCAAGAAGATAGAGACAAATATCTCCCAGCTTTCTTTTCCAGACCATTCTTAGCTTTGCTAATATGTCTACTTCTGCATTTTTTGAGCTAAATGAGTGAGTTCTTTAAACTCACTTTGAGCTTTCAGTGCACATTACCCTGGACAAATGCATTACCCTGGAAGGATCTTTTGACTTTGGTACTCTGTACCAAACATAGTTTATTTCTCAGTATAAGTAAATGGTGAAGTAAGCCTGCCCACTTCTCCATCAGCTGTTTCCTCACGTCAGATCCAAAAATGACTGGAACTTTGAATTTTGGAACAAATTTGTATTCAAATTGTGAAAGCATATCATCTACGCCTACAAATCTCATGCTGACTTCAAAGGGTGCCTACCAAACATCTGGAGTAAAGAAGGGGCATAAAACTGAAGCTGGAAGCCAATTCAAATGCTAGAAATTTAGTTAGCACTTGTTTCCTCTCTGAAAGGTCATTCTTTTATCAGGAATTGTAAAACAAAGCCCATCTTATATATACAGACTACTCAAAGACTGGATATTGGTTAAAAAAGAACTGATTTATGAGGATTGACCTTCTCCCTCTCATTTCCCCCCAATTCTTGCTGGAGGTTATTTCATTTTGCTACCCATGAAACGAAATCCTACAAAAACACAGGGAAGGTTTGTTGCTGTTGAAACTTGGCACTAAGCTGTATCTGCCTTGAGCTCAGATGCTACTTGCTATATAAGGTCCTTTTTAATTTCAATATGCAGTG